AAAAAAGTCAACTGATTTGAAACACTTGCCAGACGTCTCTCTCTCTCTTTCTGAAATCCGCCTCGGTGATCATGGGCTGGTCCGGAATCTATTTCTTTCAAAAGTGTTGCGCCAGGTTTACGTTGTCAGTGTTTCTCTTTAAACCTAGTCGTTTTTTTATGGACGAGGACAGTTGAATGAATCTAAGGTTAAGTGATGTCGATTAGAAACGTGTGAATACATACACTATGGCTATACGTTTCACTGCAACTGCCCACAACACAACATCTAAAAACTCTCTCTCAAAAAAAATAAAATAGACAAAAAAAAAAAAAGAAAAAACGCCGACCGAAAAATGTATATTGTTTAAAAGTATACTGAACGACCAGTGTTATTATGGCTCAGGCGTATGACTTCCTCTCACATTTTGTCATTTGGTGGCGCACTTTCGGCGAGAGTCGGAAATCCAGAAACAGTCGACCATTTTACAATAGGTGGGCGTGGCTACAACACGAGAAATATCCCAAATTTACTTGGATACGAGTAATCATTTTCAGCAAAAAAAATCAATAACTACCCTTTTCAGTGGGACACAGATCTAAAATGGGAAACGTGAGGGTGGGCATTGCACAGACACTTTAATATAAATCGTAATACTAACAAAAACGTCAGGTACACAAGTGTCTCTGTTACTGACGTCAAGTAATAGCTTTATTCGCAGATGTCGCGAAAATATTAAAATTAATATAATGCAAAAAAAAGTATCAAGCAATTATTCTTGAGATGACCATGTTAGAACTAAAATTAAAAAAACTCCACACTCTGGTTAATTCATAGAATCTTTAGATGTTGACTATAAGAACTTATGCAGGTGTCAATTATTATCTCTGTCAATTCAGAATGTAATAATTGATGTACGGTACTTCTTTTTTATAAGTTGTTAAAAAATATTTTAGTAGATCTTGACTTGTCAGATCATTACATATTTTGTAGCAATACAACAAGGTGTATAAGTGATCAAAGTAAATAGCACGTACTCTAAGATAAATGTAACCCATACAGAGGCTAATTATACAATTTGTATTGTTAACATATGAAATAAAATAACAAATTGTATACGATCGATAAAGATTCATTCAGTAAATTGTACAGTTATTATATTAAAGATGCGAATCCAGAGTTATTGGGAACCAGAATTGTAATTTCATATTACAGATTATGACATGGTGGGTGTGTACAAATCTTTTGCTATCGGAGGAGTCGTTGGGTTGGTGCGGCTTGTTAGCTTGTGTATACGAACGCAACGTTCAGCATCATCAAAAAGGATACGGTAGATTGACAAACCTCATTGACGATGCTGAATGTCACTTACATAAAACAAAAATTGCAATTGACCTCCAAATTTTGGTCACCGAATTTAACAATTATTTCTGGCTTTCACACTGCAGTCTGCATGAGCATATCCAAAGCCTAAATAGGTTTTGATTGTATACAGCGCCACCAGTGGCTGTTATTTTTAGAATTACAGTGGCTCCTCACGTGGGTGTACGACTTACCAGGCGATCTTGTAAGGGGGGGGGGGGGTTAATCATTGAAAATGAATAAAAAAGCACATATACACACGGGGGGTGGGGGGTGCATGACATGATTGGTCGAAATAATCATCTCATTTGCATAAATTAATATTCATGAGCAAAATGCTTTCCGATAGCATACATGATAGTTATAAATTGACTGATTCTATCGTTACGAGCCGAAAGAGTAATAAAAAAACTGATGTAAAGGTGTTTTTTGAGGCACGTTTTTGATCAGACTCCAGCAAACTGTTGAAAGTAACCACAGTTTTTTTTTATTACTCTGATCATAGCAAATTATAAAATTCATGGAAAATGCAGAAGTACAATTATATTTCACTCTAGTACTATTGCTCAAACTTGCTCAAAATGTTGTCAGTGACTTTTGTCAGTGACAAGTTACCTAATTAGTATGCATTTTGAGAAACCACAGTGTGTGTGCATGCGCAGTTTGAAATGGAACAGTTTTGAACGCAATAAAATCACGCGTAGAACTTGGGCTCCAGCAAGAAATTGTTTTGAAATAGACATAATTTTAGAGCCTGTATTTTTCTATGAAATGTTTCCAAGTTTTGTTGAGGATTATTCTGTAAAGAAATCACTGAAATTATTTCATATGTTCGTAAAATAGACGTTGTTGCTTTGACGATGGGCTAAGGACGACTGACTTTGAAGCGTTCCATTCAGATCGAATGGCGCCCTCTTGTGCCAACCCCCCCCCCCCCTGCATACACACATGGGTTTATTTATAGTATGTTTATCTTTATTTATTTACTCATTGCAGCAAGTTTTATAGCGCTTTATCAAAGGCGACTGGCCGAGAAGTACATAAAGTCACAACTTAATTACTCCTGTCGACACCTTGAGTCAGGCTGCTATCACCCTTTGTATCTCAGTAATTGACGGCCAGTAAGTGTTAATTAAGTTGTCTCCTCCCGCCCTTTAACGACCAATTAAATACACAATGCAATGAAACATTAGTTTTACTTTTACTTCAAAACTGCTGGTAAAACACAATCAAATGTTTGGGAGCCATTTAACTACCTGCGACTATGCCAACACTGCAACTCACTGAGGAGTGTCATAGCTAGGGGTTACTGTAGTTTTCTGAATCTTTTTTTACAGATTTAAATGGTACTTGACGTACAGTTTGTTCATGTTTGAGATGTCGTTGAGATTTGTTAATGTTTAATTTTGCTTATTATTTTTAATTTGCTTTCATTTATTGTTTTTTCATGGGGAGCTGCCTTGTATAGGTGTTCCACCTGCCGCACAATCCCTTTCAGTTTTTCTCAAACACATAAAGCTTAATAAATAAATTTCACTAATACAATATTTTCTTTACCCACAAATCTGTTCTAACCATCAGCTTGCTTGTTCAATACAGTAAATAAAGGGGAACCTACCAATCCCAGGGATTGCACCAAAGAATCATGGGACACTATTGATTTTGTTATCCATTGTAATTTTAATCCAGAAAGTAAATTTGTTGTGAGATTAGGCTTAACTAGAAGTGCTCTTTTAACATATGCATGATTACACCGTCTTGTTTTTAGAAATTCAAATATTCTAATGGAGGTTTTTAAAGGAATTTGATGTCATTCATGCTATATGCAAACAGAAATAGTTAAATTGAGTATTTGTTTGTATTTAAACATTTTTATTCACTCAAGTATTTATACCAATAGTCTAAAATGTATATGCCAGCAAATAAACTTAAAATACTGATGTACTTTAATATGGCTATATTAAAGTCAAGACCAAAAGTTTTACATTAAACTAGTTTATTTTGTCAAAGGTGACAAAAGTTTACTTTACTATTATTTAAGAGTCAAAAAATCTCCGTACCATATAATACATAGACATATTGAAAAGGACAACAAATCATTTGCATTTGCACAAGAGTAGATATACAAATTTACTGATAGGTTTGGTGGCTTTACTATGTGTGGGAGTAAACCATCTGGTAAGAATTTAATTATTCCCACCATATGGTATAAATGTTAATAGTTACAGAAATATTGACATGTTGTGGGCGTCAGTCGTTGCAGAAAAATACTTTTTAGAGCACAGTGTGCTATAAAATTAACTGACAGTTTTAAATTATCTTATCAGGTAGTAGTTGACAGGTGGAAATTTTTTTTTTTTTCACATTTCTGTAATTATTTCAGATTAAAGCCAAATGATTGTATCTTCAAATGTTTATTTTGGTTTTTGTGGATGCGTTTGTGCTGTGACGACTTTCATTTAACTTCACACCTACCAAATGACAACCCTCACTATTTTCATAATTTATATATTAATATTTAACCAAATTTAAGTTGAGTTTGCATAGCTTAGGATTAGGTTAAGTAAAAGGGGAAGGTTTGTTAAATTTATATTAACATTAATTTAATTGTACTATACCTACCCCCTTTACTAAAACTAATCTTCGCAAACATTTCTAAGTTAATAACTTAAGTCATAAGATATTCAACTTTTTTTTAATTGAACTCCAATTAAAACACAACCCTATATAGAGTCATATTTTAATCCAAACATAATCCACAAATATTAAAAGTTAACCCAATGCGTGTTGTCACAATGATAGTAAGATGTGTATATAGATTTGTGTGTTTGGGAGTACATCATATAGTATGTCTGTCTGCATTTACAATGTGTATGTCAAATTTGTTTTCCAACCAATATCTCAAGAACCACTAGCTGGATTGGAATGCACTTTGGCTCATAGAAACAATATGGTGAACTCCAGACGTGATTGATTTTTTGTGCAAATCTGTGATAATTTGAATAAAAATTAACCAATGCTTGCTATATTTTTCCAACTGTGTACAAAATGCATTAAAAAACTAAGTATAGACTTGATTCAGTGTGTGATAAATTAATAATTTTTCTGTTAATGAATAGTTTTCTTTGTTTATTCTATATGATAGCATTAGTTTCTCAAATACATTGTATCTTGGTGCATGGATACTGTGAAATGAAATATGAATTTACACTGTGCATATTAATTAGCTAATTTGCATAATGTACTTTCAGCATGTTTTTTTATGCAGATGAATATTTAATAAGTTTCTAATAGTCTATGCATATTAAGTTGCTAATTTGCATAAGGTACTTTCAGCATGTTTTGTTTATGCAGATGAATATCTGATAAGTTTTTAATAGTCTATGCATATTAAGTTGCTAATTTGCATAAGATACTTTCAGCATGTTTTGTTTATGCAGATGAATATCTAATAAGTTTCTAATAGTCTATGCATATTAAGTTGCTAATTTGCATAAGGTACTTTCAGCATGTTTTGTTTATGCAGATGAATATCTGATAAGTTTTTAATAGTCTATGCATATTAAGTTGCTAATTTGCATAAGATACTTTCAGCATGTTTTGTTTATGCAGATGAATATCTAATAAGTTTCTAATAGTCTATGCATATTAAGTTGCTAATTTGCATAAGGTACATTCAGCATGTTTTGTTTATGCAGATGAATATCTGATAAGTTTTTAATAGTCTATGCATATTAAGTTGCTAATTTGCATAAGGTACTTTCAGCATGTTTTGTTTATGCAGATGACTATCTGATAAGTTGTTAATAGTCTATGCATATTAAGTTGCTAATTTGCATAAGGTACTTTCAGCATGTTTTGTTTATGCAGATGAATATCTATTAAGTTTCTAATAGTCTATGCATATTAAGTAGCTAATTTGCATAAGGTACTTTCAGCATATTTTGTTTATGCAGATGAATATTAAGTTTCTAATAGTCTATGCATATTAAGTAGCTAATTTACATAAGGTATTTTCAGCATGTTTTGATTATGCAGATGAATATCTAATAAGTTTCTAATAGTCTATGCATATTAAGTAGCTAATTTGCATATTATTGTCATTACCACATTGTTTTGAACAGGACACCAAAACACAAACTAGAGGCAATATTCAAGTCTTCTTATTATTGGAAAATACAAGACCCAAAGAAGTCCAACTCAAATCCAATATGCTGTCTAATATCATTCACCAAAGAAATCAAGGCTGTGGTTTTGAATTATTCCATGATTGTTGAAGATTTAGATTCTCATTAGACTCGTCATCAAGGAAGTTGAGCCTGGTTGTGGTTTTGAATGCTTTGAGAATGAATCCAAGAACTCTGACTCCAAAAAACTGAAAATTATGGCCAAATCCCACCCTGTCTAATATCATTCTAATATGGATTTCAAACTTTGAAAATCATCTAAGAATTCTGCCTCCAAAAAACTGAAAATCATAACCAAATACCACCCTGTCTAATATCATTCTAATATGGTTCTAAAACTTTGAAAATCGTATAAGAATTCTGCCTCCAAAAAACCAAAGTTGTAGCCAAATACACTCTGTCTAATATCAATTTAATATTCATCTAATACTTCGATAATTATCAGATAATAATCTGATAATGAGTAATGCACTGGTATATATCCTGGCTACCGCAGTTTTTTAGGGGTCTCTTGTCATTTGATAAGAAGAGGGACGTTGTGAATATAATGCAGAAACAGTTAAGTCATGTTATTAGCCATAATTGTACCAAGTCTTTATACACTTAAATGTGAAATTCAAATATTTCATTTCATATTTTAGATGATGTCTGGACTGCACTCTTGCATTTGGATCACATGAGGTCAACGCAGCGATATATTAAAACAATAAAAAGCTGGACCAGGGAGTTAAATTTAAATGGATCACTGATGTTCCTGAATCGTCTGATATTAATATTGCTACAAGGAAAGCAGGATGCTATAAAAGTGAGTGTGAATGCAGATTTGATAACGATAATGTCGTGATTACAATTATCTTTATTAAAAACACAATTTCCAAATTAATTACATGTGTCATGCAGTAGTAGTAATGCCATTTTTACAATATTACTTCCCCTGAGCATCAAATTTAAACTTTGACGTCTCTAATTAATCAGCTAAAATGCCAAAAAGTAGGTCTTTTAATGGCTAGACAAATTTTGTGAAACTGTAATCTGAATGTTTTCACTATATATTAGCTTTACAAGATCGCGCGAGTTGCATCCTCCGTGGTGCTCCAAACACATCACATGTGCCTGACACTTCCCCAAGTACCAATCAAATTGCACAAACGTCAAAAAGTGACAACCATCAAAAAGTAATTTTTCACGACAGAGTTTATTTGTTGACATAATGTGTGATAAGGTGCTGGCAAATTTCTGTTCAATGTTTATCATCTTGTATCTTGTTGAGAACAGTCTGTGATTGTTGCTGACAATGCAAATAAAGCGGATGTACTGGTGACAAAGCAGATGTACTGGAGAAAATCTCACATCGATTTCTTGGTTCAGCGAGGTGTACATCACAAACATCACATGATGTCTAATTGATCGAGAATTCCAATGTTGTTTTCATGGGGGTAGTTTTACTGCTCTTGGACTGCAAAAAAGACACTGCACAGTGACTCTTTCATGCTGCAGTCGCGTGTCGTCCACATCTGTAAACACACGTATACTTTTGTTATCTAATCCACTCTCAAGTTTTAAGTGGTGTATTTCTTTATCAAGTACATTAATTTCATGATTGACAGTGTTACCAAGACCACCAAAATGAACATTCATTGAAACTCATTTCATGAACGAATGAACTTTGTGAATTCACAGTATTTATCTTGCCAACGAGACATACACTTATTCTGTCAGGCATTAGTGGGGTCTGATGTCGTGCAGTAGGTGAGGGCACCACTCACGCCTACGTGTCAGGCTCACTATAAATAAATAACTATTTATTTATTGATTTATTTATTTATTTATTTATTTATTTATTTATTTATTTATTGATTGATTGATTGATTGATTGATTGATTGATTGATTGATTGATTGATTGATTGATTGATTGATTGATTGATTGATTGATTGATTGATTGATTGATTGATTGATTGATTGATTGATTGATTGATTGATTGATTGATTGATTGATTGATTGATTGATTGATTGATTGATTGATTGATTGATTGATTGATTGATTGATTGATTGATTGATTTATTTATTTATTTATTTATTTATTTATTTATTTATTTATTTATTTATTTACACACAACATCCCCCGGAGGGAATGAAAAGGGTTATAAATCAAATATTAGTAAAAGAAAAA